CTCCTCCCGCAAGTCTTCTCTCGCTGTAAGCTTTTGTCTGGATATGTCTAATTTAAATTACGCCGCGCGTATTAATTCAGCGGTGAATATATTACTGTGTTTGATAAAGTAATGATATTACGAAAAAATCTGTTACGTTTAAACATTTTATACTTCACAAATGTGTCAAAGATCCCTCAAGGAAGATATTTGCAAAAGCACATTCATTTCAGATAAAATAATCATAACAGTAATAAGCGGTAATGTATATTCCAATTATCGCAAAGATTTTTAATTAGCCGAGTTTTTTGTTTGCAGCAAAAAATAAACATAATTAAACAGATACGTTTAATTAATATTAAATCGATATATCGACATTTGCGCGAAAGGAGCGCGAAAGAAGATTACAGCGAATGCAAACTAAACGAATTGCATAATGTTCGTCGTTAGCGTAATTAATACTCTTGTAGTTCCGTGTGTGTGATATAATCGACGGGAAGCTATATTTGTATTTCGCCATTAATCATTTCTCAATAATTCGCGGAACAATTCGAACGGAGCCGGAGCGCACGTGGAGGGGGGGGGAAATTAATACCGACCAGCTTCACAGTGCCCGATGGCTTAAACGGGAATAATCCTTGTAACGCTTTGGACACCTTTTTCGGCCGTCTGGCTAGAGGCAGATACTGTCGTAATTGCGCGGGCAATAGAATTATCGCGTTGCACGAGAGCGCAGTCATTCCGGACCTTCCATTATGCGCGCGCGAATAATGCCGCGCAAAGCCCGATCCTTTCTCGCGAAAACGGCGCAAATGTCTGCCGTGGAATGATATCGGCGCGCATGCCACTCCGCAATTTTCCACCTAGCCCTCCGGCATTTTTGCACGGTCCAGCGACACGTCGCAGCCGGCTTAAAATCAGCCGGATGTCAAGAAACATCAAGCGCGCGAATATTTTATTTAGGTCAATCGAACTGGGGGCTAGTTTAACAGAGAGTATTGGCTAAATATCGAGTTGGCGTGTGGCATTGATTACGGCTGTCTCTCAAATGTGCTCCGTTATTTTTCTACAATTAATTAATAATTAACGATTTAATAATAGTAATAAAATGAAAATTATATAGCAAATTATACGGGAGAGAGAGAGAGAGAGAGAGAGAGAGACAGAGTTGCAGAATTATTCTGCAATATTTCTTATGACGCTTATTTTATTGCGACAATATAATAGTAGAAAAATTATGAGTATCACAGAAATGTATCGTCGAGGCGTCTTCATTTTTTATCGAGCGCGGAAATATTTTTATCCACCGTCCTGATCGAAATATTAAAACCGCGCCGAGCAAAAGCCCTTTTTTACAAAGCTTTAATTTCCATCACGCTGGAGCTCATCGCGTAACGCTCGCGCACGAACCAAGTCATAAACGTTTAAAATTTGATTTATCTCTTTCGTTCTGCGTTCATCGCAATGAGAACAAATTTGCCGCCGCCGCCGCCACCGTGCGAACGCTTTATTACAGCACGGGCGCATCTAGCACGCCCACACCTACGTAATTGGCGCAATTCCGTAAGTGTTTCCATTCAATTTTCTTTTTATTACGTGCCTTGCCATCCGTTCTCCCTCCGCCGCGTCGCACGCACATCTCCACATCGCGGGATACATCACGTTGTTTATGGCCATTTTGACACGTTTCACGGCACCCGGAAGTCCGCGACGCGCTGCAATTCCTTCGTCGTTCGGATGTAAGACCGGGATCACCGACCGGAAAATGGCTCGCCAGCACAAGACAGAGCCTTTATGAGTGGAGTTACAAATCTGCCTTGCGAAATTTCGTCGTCACAAGAATCCCGAGGATCGTTTCGCGTCAAACACCTTTTCGCCGTGGATCGCGACGATTGTCTCAAATCGATCTCGCGCGCGAGCGATGGTTCTCGACTGACCGTAAGATTGAATCACCCGGGGAAGATAATACGGAAGAGGAAGAAGGAATGAAGTCGCGCGCGGAAACGACTCTCGAGCCGCCTCTGCATGAGAAATTTCAATCCGGGTGGCGCTCAAATCACTCGGATGAATTTTTAACGGGGGTAGTCTAGCTGCAGGACAATAGGAAGAAGATCGAGACGCGAGAGTGGACGATATCGACGTGAAGAAGCGAGAGGACGGGCGCGAGGACGATGTATTCGGTACGACGAGGTGCAAAGGCGGAAAGGAGCCACTGCGATTCAATAAATGATGCCGCACCAGTGGCAATGCGTGACCCCGTTAGAGAGGCACTTTACGGGGCCGCTTCGCCGACATGGCCGTAGCCCTCAAAGAGTAATACCGTCTCTGCGCGAGCTTCGGCGCATCAAAGTTTCAGCGGCCTCGCCGCGCGCGTCCCGGGACCCGCAACACGGTACCGCCGGTTTCTCAGATAAAATCTTTATTCGACGCACCGCAGCGTGAATCGCGGAAATTGCGGGCTAAGTGTCGAGTCGTCCAACACGTACGCGAGCGACGACGCGGCTTCTCCAAATACAGAAGTAGATCATCGTGAAATTGTCAAATTGTAGAAAAAGCAGATAACATATCTACGCGTAAAATATCGCGTTATAATTGTGGCGAAAAATGATAAGAATCATTTGACAATTGCATTTTATACCGCAATTTTGAAGCGAGCGACAATTAACAATAAATGAACAATGGCGTTTTTGAATCGTCGCGTTAATAATTTCGCCGAGAGCTTCGCTCTGGTGGGGCATTAAATCGAAGTCGAAGGGGCGATAGTTTAATCGAGTAGTCATTATGTTTGACCGGATTCGACGGAAGCAAAGAAGAATCGAGGGGATTCGGATACGCGATACTCGCGCTTGCGCTGTGGCGTACGTATGTGTGCGTGTCTGTGTACACCGGGGGAGAACGAGAAAAAGAGAAGGGAGATAAGCGAGCGGGCGAGCGAGCGAGAAAGAGAGAGAGCTAATTACATCGGTAAATCATCCTCTAACCAGGAGGGTGGGAGCCTAGTCGCCGCCACTGGCAACCCTTTATTCTGTGTTATTACGGTCTAAAGTTACCCCGTGTAATTGTTGCTGTTTAATTGCGAACTCTAAGTCGTCTCGTTACAGGACGCGCAGCGCTGCGAGTAATTGCCCTCTTCAAATTTACCTACCTGCTTTTTAGCAGCACGGATCGCGAAGGGGTGAGCGCGCGGGGGACGCGCGGGGGGCGCGCAGGGGTCGTACAGAATATATTCCGCATCAGGCATATTTTATCGCGCGTGCGCGCTTTAATTGCGCTCGTACATCATCCGCGACACGCAACGCGATTGTTATAACAAATATAACGGCCGGCACTGAGCGCAGCTGTCCCAATTTACTTCCTCATAATTCGTTTCCGTTTCTCGGCCGGCGTACGAGCGACTCTATTCGCGTCTTCGCGCGAGCCCGGCGCCGAAAACGCATTATTTCCCACGCGCTTCGGATGAGCGTTTTCGATCGCAGCGCGTGCGACGCGCGTCCGACCACCCTTCGCGCGCGCAATCGAATCTATCCTCCGCCGTTCCGCCACGAAGCAGCGCCGGGTCCGCCGCGCGAGTCGCGCGCGAGTGGAAGCATTGTCGCAGATAAACAATGCCGGACGATAAAAACGTAAAATTGATGCTCTTTTGTTCACATTGTTTGAGACGCTGTGCCAACGTTTGCCGCACGCCTGGACGAGCCATTGCTATTGGCTTGGAACTACATCCTCCACCTCCGGTTCCTCTATCATATCCTCCTCCCTCGTCCTCCGCCGCTGCCGCTATTCTCCGGCGATAGAGCCGCTGTGCCACCCGGACTCTTCCTCCCTTCCATATCTACTCTCTGCCGAACGTTGTTACATCCAAAAAACGAGTCTCTTCGTCCGTAAGCCAGCATTGTACTCGTCCCACTGGCATTGTGCTCTCGTTTGTACGTTTTCCGCCATTGAATTGCGACAGGAGCCGCAGTTTCGCCGTTGCTACATATTGTTTACACGTCATACAGTGCCCCGAGAATAATTAAAACGATCGGGAGAAACAAATAACAGATGTGTAACAGTTTCGGCCGAATAGAAACCCGCGACGTGTGCTTACCAACATTGATTCCACCCCTCCGTATCTCGCGCATCTCGTGCTGCACACCGTGAGATAACATACGTGCCACGATATCTTGAAAGTTGCGAGGGACTCAATATTGCTGTCCCGTCCGCGAAGATAATCTCGATCGAACGCGAAAATGTCAACGATACTCGGATATTACATAACTGGTCTTGAAAGACGGGAATAGAACGAGGATGGGATACAGAAAGAGAGAGAAAGACGTTTATTCTCGCCGCTGCCCCTGCCTCGCCCTGCTACAAGTCCTCTAAGAATATTGCGAAGAAACTTACGAAACTTGTAAACTTGTATTAGAATATAAAAGAAACTTAAAGACAAAATTCAAAAACCATTAAAATTTGAATCTATGCTTCACTTTCCATCAATTCCTCGTCAATTAAGTTTGTGATAATTCAACCGCAAGACAATAAAAGTTTCAAATCGCGCTTTAGATCTCAACTAAAAGGATCATAATAATAATTATACGATATTAATGAAAGACGACAAAATAAATAGATATATTATAATAAAATTTAAGTTTTAGAATCACGGAAAATGTCAGAGGATCTTCGTACACAAGATAATTAAATAAATATTTTTTCCCTATTTATGTAATGTATTTTTTTAATTTTGTAATGGCATATTTTTTCGAACTTGAATGCGATAATTACGCGTTAAAAATTCACTGCAATTACGACCTGTTCAAATTAATTATTTCAATGTTAAATTGCATAAAGAATAAAAACACGTTATAAATTAATAATGATAAGCTTGATCACATATCGGAAATTTTACTTGCTTTTATTACAAAGTTCTCAATATTCTAGTTATACATATGTGCAACACGTGTGCCGCGTGATCAAAGGATTAATAATAAATAAATACTTTTATTTGCAAAAATCAAAATTTTTCGAGAAAAACTTCAATAATATTAATAAAAATATTAGTTGAAATAAAAATTAGATAATCGCTATTAAAAATGTATAATAAATAATAGCAATAAATATCAGTCTGTAATAGTAATAAAAATACAAATAACAAAATATAAAGATAGTCTACAAATAAAGCAATATGGAAGTGGACACGGCATATTGCGTATTTCGATGGACGGAGAACCTAGACTGTGCGGGATACGTGAGGACGTGCCGCGGGGCTTCACGATGAAGAAGTTGGTCTGGTGCCAAAGAATGGCAGCGCGAACGAAAGAAGAGGTCACGGAAAGGAAAGTGCAGGGTGATTTCCCAGCTGACCTGTAAAGCAACCTCCCTCACCCCAATGGGCTCTGCCTCGCAGACTACTCTTCCCCGTAGCCGTTCCTTGCCCTCTTCTCGTGTCCACGCGAAGGGAAGATGCATCGCCGTGAAAGTCGTGAACGACAGAAAGTAAGGTGGAGAGGGAAAGGAGGAAGAGAGAGGGCGAGATAGAGCAAACTTACTGATTCGAATCTCCTACCGGAAAGCTATCCCATTTTACGTCGCGTCGTAATTTTTAATAATTGATCAATCTCAACACGAACTTTACTCTATTTTGACTGCCTGTTATTTAATACATATGATAAATTGCGAGTTTTCGATAATTTTATTTCAATTCACACAGTTGCAAAAAAAAAATAGAAAACCTGTTGTTTTCAGTTGCATTTTTTATACTTGAAACAAAAGAATGGCAAGCTCACGGTTTTAATAAGAGAAAGAAGATGTGAAAATAGATGTGAAGATGTCCAGCTGAGAAAAATCGGTCTGATAATGTGGATAATTTTACGTCGTTTGTACTCACCGATGGGTGCACTGTTGACAGGCGAAACAATCAAGATGATAGACGTTCGTTCTGGCTCTCATGACCATCTCGAATGCTGGTATTTGTTTGTTACACGCCGCGCAACATCCCGTGTTCCCAAAGAGCCTGAGGTAGTCCCTCTTACAGAGGATAAGATTAGCTTTGGTGTAGAGCGTAGAGCCGACCTCTCCTAACCTACAGTCGCAGCATCCGCACTTGAGGCAGTCCTCGTGCCAGTAGCAGTCCAGGGCCTTGAGGAGGTACCTGAAGAACCGACCGTCGTTCTCGTTCTTACCGGCCGTTAAGACTTGGAAATTCCTCTTTTATCTTTATATCTAATATATATTTTGCAAATAACTGGCTATTTTTAATAAAGAAAAAGCCGGACTGCCGCGGAGAGATAAAAAATCGCGGTTTATATCATTTTTCCTTTGCGATTCCTTTGAAATAAAGTACCGAGATACAGCAAGCGAGTTAAACCGCAGTATCTAATATATATTTAAATAAAATAATTAACCACTTTAATAAAAAAGTGGAAAAGGCATTTTGGATATAAAAAAATCGATAATGTGTCGTTTTTTTTTTTGCTAAATGCCAGCGGAAAACGAATATTAAAGAACAGTTATTGAACAAGTAAAAAATGACAAAATATGAATAAGAACGCTTCCTTTAAAGAATGCAGATTACACAAAATGCCGACGTTTACCTCTCCGTAATTGTCTTCCTACAGCCGGCGCACTCCTGCTGCGTCGAACCATTTTTATTCGTCTCGGATTTGCTCACGTCCATAGTCATCGTGATCTTGGCTACGGCGCCGTCTGGAACATTAAAAGTAAAATCGAAATGTTACAAACACATTCGCATTGTCGTCGGATAAAACTTTTGAAATAGCGACGGGAAAGAAAACGATCTCCTCTCTAATTCTAGCGTCAAACAGCGTTAATATGATATTAATATAATCATTAAATGTTTAAATTTTCGTTGCTCGTTCGGCGCGATTCGATGCATAAAGGACAAAATAAAATTTTCAATAAGTCAATATCAAAGCTGTATTTGCGATGAGAAAATTATACGCAGCGTCATTTCGGAGGCCGAAATTCGATTTCCCGAGTTAATGAGAACTTCACCGTGTTCAGACAGGTCGTACACATCTGCGCATGTTTATAAGGGGCAAACCTCGCGGACGGCTGGCGTGCCGTGCACGCGTATTCCACAGTTATAAGCGTCTCCGGCGTCGTAAGTGGCTGACAGCACGCAATAATTAGCGCAGCTAATTGGAACCGTCTCTGCGCTCGTCCTCGCGCGCTCGGACTGCAATAAGCACCGACGCGCTACATCATGAACGCCATCGGGGTCTTTCTCAGAGGTCGCATACACCTTTTTTTATCCACCTACCATGTAACGCGGCATCTTTCAACCGTTCTATAAAACAGACGCGTTCGGCGACAGAAGTTCTAGAAATGTTTGGGTAAAATTTTTACGCAGAATAATTTCTTCCTTCTACAGCATTGTTTTGAATTAATATTACACTTTGTTCCTAATCAAAAAAATTGAAAGTTTTTTGCTTCCCTCAAGCATTCAACTATGTGCTTTCTTCAACTTTCAATGTATGTTGCGGCCGTTTGGAAAGATGATGACGAATCCTGATTATATTTTTGAATTCACAAAAATCGAGAACTTACATTACTGCTGAATCGTTTCATCAGTTATAAAACTAGCAGGCTGCCAAATCTAGCGGTGCAACTCTTCAAAGAACGGCTATGTAGAAAACGGCGCGGGATCTAAATCGAATTGGCGCGGCGATCACGGACGTTCGTGATCGTGAGAACGCGGTTACGCTCTTTCGAAACGATCCGTGTAACACTTCGCGGAAGGGGGTAGCGTACGGGGGGGTGGCGGCCCACTTCGTTCACTCCTGCCGCTGCCACCGCCGTTGCCGCCACCGCCGCCGTTGCCGCCACCGCCACCGCCGCCGCCGCCACCACCGCCGCCGCACGTTCGGAACGACGACGAGCGGGCGGACGCGCGGCGGGGGCTTAATTAATTAACCGGATACTTTGAGTAACAATCCATTATTACATACAAACATCCTCGGCCTCGGGGCCGAGCTGCAGCTTTATGCTGCTAATTGGCCTTCTCAAAGCCGGGAGAGACCCGGGCACGAGTTATAAACGCCACTCTCCTTCCCTTCCTTGCCCCTCGCGCGGGCCGCAGCCACCGCACCGAATCCTCTCCTCCGCTCTCGCTCCCGGTTCCAATTTTCTCTCTCGCCGCCACCCGCCCTCTTTTCTCTCCGTCTCACCTCTCCTTCTCTATCCCCCTATCTCGTTATCTCGCTCCGTCCTTTCCCGTCCCTCGTCTCTCCCGCCCCCTCATCACCGCATCACTTCACCCGCGTGCTCCGCAATACACGTAAAGCGCATACAATCGCGCGGATACGCTCACCCACCCTCGCGCTCGCACACATGCACTAAGACAAAATGAGTGAGAGGTGGACGGGCGGAAGGGAAGCGGGGGTGCGCGAGAGGTGGCGGAAAGAGCAAACGAGAGACGAAGAAGAGAGCGGGAGAGAGAGAGAGAGAGAGAGAGAGAGAGAGAGAGAGAGAGGAAGGAGAGGAGAGGAGA